AAAAAAAAAAAAGGAGGGGAGGTGACTGACTATGTAGTCCAGGAGCTGAGGTCCCTGGAACTATCAAGGGAGAAGAGCAGAGTGCGAGACCCTACCCAGAGAAGCAGTGACGCCACAGATAGAGGCAGAGACTATGAAGTGGAGAGATGGAGCGGCTGGGGACTCTAAACTCCGAGAGGGAGAGGAACTGTGTGCTGATGATGGTGATGGGGGTGAGAGGGGAGCAGGCATGTAAACTATCACATAATTCACAATAAAACATTTTTTTTAAAAAAAGTACATGTGAAATTATTTTAGCCAATATAAATTATTACATAATCGTAAGAGAGCAGTATAATATCTAGTCACTTTCTGGGAAATATATATCTTGAAAATTATCAGGAGGAGTAATGAAAATAGACAAAACCATATGACCAGTACCAGGTAAAATTAGCCAGTTCATCTAAAAAAGCGCTGTATTTTCCCAGAGATAATATCCTGGTGAGCTCTCAGCTCATGTTACCATGTGTTCCTGCTTACTCATCCCAGTCCTCTCGCCATCACTTTTCCATTAGCACCTTCTGGAACTGGGCAAACTCACATTCACAGAGAGGGGATTCTTGTTGCTAAGTGCCATTGGGACTTCACATGGGGAGGGCAGTAAGTCACAGCCCTAAACATAATGACCCCATTTTTTTATAGAGCTCCTTTCATAAAACCCCTGAGCATCTGCCTTTTAGCTTCCAGGTGCAGACTGAGAGCCAGCTGAACTGAAGGCTCAACACTAACAATATGGTCCATAGGTCTGCGCTGGAATGAGAAGACCCAGGATGCATGTCAGATTTCAGGTTTCAATATTCAGTGGGAACAGAGTCCCTCATACAGGAGAGTTCCAGGGACAGGATTCCACTCCCACCACCTTCCACTTCTGCCCCAGGGAGCACAGTCCTTATAGCTATGCCTGATAGGCACAGGGAGAGGGCACACCTGGACCCAGGTGGGATGGGAGACCTAGGGACATTAGGAAAGTCACTCACCAGTGTAATAAATCACCTTCCTCCAGTCTGAAAGGTGATATAAAAGAAATGAGGTGAAATAAGAACTAGAAAGTCTTCCCAAACAGGACACTGAGAGTTCAGGAGGGAGGGAAGAACTTACCCAGCTCTCTCTGGAATTCATCTGAAAGAAGAGATGGGGGTAAAAAGCATGAACTCTATCCCTAAGAAAAGAAAAGACTGTGCTGGTAAACCAACACAAAAAGACTCACTCTGTAAACTGCAGAAACTTCTCCTTCCAGAACCATCTGAGCCCTCATGCCCATATTGCACCTCTCCAGATCTCCTGAGAATCCTGTTCTCTGCAGGGACCCTGGGTCTCTCTGCAAAGCACTGCTATCAGTTCTGTTCTTGCCCTCAGCTTTTCCTCAGAACACCAGCTCTGCCCTCCCCAGTCTAACACAGACCCTCCCTCTCTTACCTGCCTCCTTGTTGGCTAACTTTGATTCCTTCTCATCCTCCTCCATAGCCTGCTGAAGAGTCTTCCAATCCTTCCACACCAGCACCTTTGCTGAATGTTCTTTCTTGAGAAAATAGCCAGCCCCTAAGCTGAGGAGCATCAGCATGGTCAGGCTCACCACAAAAACTGGCATCCAAGGAGAAAAAGCCTGAGGGAAAAAGGGCTCTGCAGCCCAGCCAGAGACACAGTCAGGGCACACTGCAGGCCAGCCCAGCCCAGCAAAATAAGAGACTCTGTCTCCTCCCTCCAGCCCTGCAGGGAGCAGAAACAGTGCTGACCTGGGATGAAAATCACCTTCACCTTCTCCTGGTTGAGGACGGGGTTAAAGACGGAGCAGGTCACGTTCCTTACAGAGCTGTCTCTCACCACCAGCGAGGCCTCCACACTGAACAGCCCCTCAGCATCTTGATCATGGGCCTCAGAGAAAGCCTGGAACTTTTTTCTACTCGGGTCTCTCCACTGAACCTGGGGCTTCGGAAACCACCCAGAGGCTTTGCATGCCACACGAATTCCATCTTCCTCTAGCCCTTCAATGTGCACTTGAGGGTCAGATCCCACACCTGCAGGAAGGAAGCTGTGGAGTCAGTGGGTACCTTGTCCCAGGTGCAGGCCTGGGATGCTGCAAGTGTGACTCAAAGGGACATTTTACTCTTGCATTTTGAGATTCTCTGGGAAGGTCTGAGTTCTGGTGTGGCACTGTAGGATAAACACTGGACTGCTAACTCCAAGGTCAGCTGTTCAAACCCACCAGCTGCTCCTAGGAGAGCCTACACAGGGTTGCTATGGGTCAGAATAGACTCAAGAGCAATTAATAACAACAACATGGGAAGATTGCACCCGAGTGATGGTAGGGCTGTGGTTGAGAGTCCTGGTGTGGCGTTGTTGGTTAAGGCGCTAGGCTCCAAAGTTGGTTTGAACCAGAAGGTTGGCTGTGAGTAGAAACTGACTCAAGGGCACTTAATAACAACATGTAAGATTGCCCCCTAGTGATAGCAAGGCTCAGGTCTCACCAAATGGAACCTGGAAAAAAGCATAAGGACTCTTTACAGAGTTCTGAAGCTGGATATTAAGATTGTATTGATGGCACACTGGGTTAAGCACTGGGTTGCTAAATGCTAGCTCAGCAATTCAAACCCACTTTAAAGATTTTCAGCCTAGAAAATCCCATAGAGCAATTCTATTCAGTCCTATGGGTAAAACTCAATTCAACTCAACAGAGAGATAGCTCTTTCTAACCACAAAAGTAGAAAGACAAGCACACAGGAATAAAACATTTTTAAAAACAGAAGGAAAACGGGACAGAACTAAATAGTGATGCATGCTCAACCTTGGAACAACAGGGCTCTGTGATACAGGAATCTACGCATAATTTGAAGGAAAATAATACTAAGATGCTTGACTATCTTATGAATATTGGTTTTCCTTGCCTACTATTGTAAAATAGACACTTGAGTGGGATAGAAAGGAATGTCAGGAAACATGATTACAGAAAGCTTGTAAGCCCGTCTTCAGCCTCTAATTGATTGGAATACCTAAAAGTGGTTCTAGAACTTGTCCAGTGAAATAGACCTCTTGCAGAGCCTTTGCACTGTATAGGACCTTAGGTGGAATCCTGAGTCCCATCCAGAACATTCTGAGGTGGGACATTCCCACTAGAAAGACAAGCAGACCATGCTGGAACCACTAGAGCAACAGAAGATACATCTTCAAAGAAAGATCATTAGGAAAAACCCAAAACAAAAATGTCAATATGACTGGCTACTACAAGAATAAGCAAGTTGTTCACTGGGAAGCCATTAAGGCAGGCAATCAAGTCCCTTCAGGACAAACCCCCATCTAAGACTGAAACTCAAAGGGAACACCTGAACAGGCATGTAAACTTGCTGGCAACCACATTAGTCTACTGGTGAGTGGAAGAGGGGAAAAGGCAGTAATGAAGAAATGGGCTGAGTTCAACCACAGTCCATTGACTCCTGTTGACCTGGAGATGAGAAAGAGAAGAGGAAGGGCTGGTGGGTCCTAAGTATGGTGAGACCTGGGGACACCTGAGTCCATGGGCAAAGACAAAGCCACAGAGGGCTAGAGCTAAGAGTGAAGCATCCAGCTGATATGAAGTCAGGGGAGATGCATGCACAAGAACACCTAAATGGCAGATAGTGCCCATTTGACCTAGCCTCGATGGCTTGATAATCAGAAGACTGAAAAAAATCATTTTTCATAAAGTAAATTAGTGTAAATTGCAACAATTTGATGAACCTGACCTATGCTTATGGAGGTAGTAACTCTAAATACCAACAGAGAGGGAAGCAGTCTTCACATCAAGTATCAATGCTATCCCATTTGTACACAGGGTAGATAGGGATGGGCAACTTAGACATTGGCTACCTAAAATGAGTGGGCTATAAAGGCACAAAGTGACTGGCTTACAAGGTTTCAAGAGGGAGTTTAGTTTAAGAGTGGGTGGCCCTTTGTACGGGGGTGGAGAAAGAGTCCCCACTAAATAGTTTTCATCTTGTCTAGATGGGTCTCGTTAAAAGAGATGGGGATAAGATTCTTAAGATTCAATCATAATTGTTATCATGACTAATTGTGACTGTCACAATCATAAAGGTAGAAGTTTTGTATCAAAAATTGGAAAGTAGTTAAACTTACAGTCCAGAAACAAAGAGCCCTAGGATCATCAAGGTAGAAGAGCACAAGTGGAATACGAGAAAAGCAGCGACACAGAGATTAAGGCAGAGACGGGGACATGGAGAGGGGGAGCAGCTGAGGACTCTGGATTCACGGGAAGAAAGAGACTGAGAGCTGGTGGCCAGGAGGCAGACTTGCAGAAGGTTCCCTTTGGTGGCATAAATTATTATATATGCCTGAGTGCTAAAAAAAAAAAAAAGAGCTATAATAAAATAGAGAGAAATACTGTTACTGATGGTACATGGAAGGGATTATAACCACTGTAGTGAAACAAGGTATATAATTTGTTTAATGTAAAACTGATGATCTGTCCTGCAAACTCAATTCACAATAAAAATAAAAAATAAAATAAAAAAAAGAAGAAGAAAACTTACATTTCTTTTCTTGACATGCAGCCCAGGAAACATAAATGAATGGACAAAACTCAGACCAGACCACAAAAATAATATAGCATTATTACAAAAACTTTTCAAAGGCAGAAAATAAACTAGGCCCTAAGATTTTGTGAAACAAAGTTTTTGATAAATTTATGCTAGTAAATAAGAAATATTTGAAATTAGGAGATTCATTGGCTTTATTCTTTTATTTTATTTCAATTACTCACAAACTCTTCTTTATCCAAACTGATCTTACTCTCATTTTCCTGTCACATCTCACAGAGTGAAAGGAACTCTCCCTCATTCAAGGATGATTAAGCCTCTGAGCTCTGGAACCAACAGGCCACTGTCTCATCTTCTAGGGCTTGGTCCCATCACTTATCACCTCCCTTCCCTCTCCTCTTCTCTGCTCATTCTCACCTCTTTCTTCCCACCCCATCCTTACTGTTAATCTCTTCCTCTAATCTTCTTCTTCTTCCAAATATATACACATGTTCAAATTTTTACAGTCTTCTTCTCCCTCTCTTAGAACAATAAATTTTATAAGCCAAAAATGCCTTTATATTCTCATCACTCACATACATCTCAGTCTCCAACAGTCTGACTTCTCCTACTATTCACTTGAATCTACTCTTGGAGTTAACAACAATCTCCTTCTTAGAATCTCAGCCCTCACACTGCTGCCCATCTTCCTCATCTTTGTCCAGCATGTGACCTTGCTGACTCCATCTTGAAACCAGCTCCATCTTGGCTTGGTGACCATTCCCTTTTGCTTGGTATGTTACTCTTCAGACCACTCTGCTAAGCCACTTTCCTGGACTTCTCTCCCTCCCCCTACATGTTAAAAAGCAGGAGAAGCACAAGGGTTTGGTCCTTGAATCTCTATTTTCACATCACATTTCTCTTTGCTCCCACTGCTTGTCTTTGTAAATCACTCCCAAAATTATGTCAAGTAAGCAACTCTGTCTCCCAAATTTCCTTCCTTTATATCCACATCCACATAGGTTACTTATGTGGATTTCTGACATGCACTTCAAACTCAAAATTGCATAACAGAATTCATATTTTTGCCCTGGTGTGGTGCTGTGGGTTAATGCACTAAACTACAAAGTCAGTTTGAACTGCAAGGTCTGTGGTTCAAGCTCACCAACCACTCCCAGGAACACAGTGACCCTATACAGGGTTGGAACCAACTTAATGGCACTTACTCACAAGAACAAATGGTAGATTGAATACAAATATAGCCCTGGTTTTCACCCTTCTTTATAGCCAACTCACCCTTTGCTATATCACTTTGTAATGCTTTCCCATTATGACTTTTCGATAGGCCATGTGACTTGATTTGCCCAGTGAGAAATGAACAAATGTGACACAAGAAAAGGTCTGTAATGTGCCATTGGACCCTCTGCTATTTCCAAGAGAGGAACATACACAGGCCAGCCTGCTGGAGGAGGAGACTCATAGAGCATTAGCTTGTTACCCTAGCCTTCCCAGATGAACCACCCTTAATCAGCCATTTGACTCCCATCATACGAAAACCCAGCCAAGGTGCACATAGTTACCTCTAAATTTGACCCAAAATGTATGAAGGAGCTCAGCGGAAATTAGCTAAACCTGGCCCAGGTTAGTTGAATGCTAAAAATGCTCAAGTTAAATACATGTTTGCTGATATATAGTACTGTGATTTTATAATCAAATGTTACATAACATTATTACCGTGATAAGTCATTAATACATCATTATCAATGTTCCCACCACTAAACTGCAAACATCTAAGGGAAAACCCAGAGAATTTCTGTGACCCCCAATTCTACCTCCAAACTCTAGTGTCCCCAAATCTACTCACTCAGTTAAGTCTACTTTCTAAATCTCTCTACCGCCTGACCCCTCATTACCCACAGTCATCCTGTCTACCTCATAACTACACTCCATGCCTCCAGGGGTTCTCCCTGCCAGAGTGAGCATTCCCAGTGCTGCTCTGCTTAACATTTCCTCAGGTCTGCATCCAAACTCTGTAATAGAGAACATGGTTGTTGTTGCTGCTGTTAAGTGCTGTTATGTAGATTCAGACTCACAGAAACCCTGTAGAGGGTTTCCAAGGAACAGCTGCCAAGTTGGAACTGCCAACTTCACAGTCCAGTTGGACTCCATAGAAGTCCATAGAACAGGACGTCATAGAACACAGAGCCTTCTCTAATTCAGCATCTACCTTTCTCCCCAAAACCTCCTATAAAACTCCCCCTGCCCCAGCTCCCCTAACTTATCCCCTCAGAGCCCACCTACACAAAGTACCAAGAGCTAACTGGTTCATTGTTATTAAGCACACATGCTCTGTGTGCCCCCAAATCTTTTCAAGTTCAGTTGCCTCAATATCAGGGTTCTTTGGAAGCCTGCCTAATGAACTCAAGTGACACTTCAGTATCTGTTCCCTTCTGCAATCTACACCAGGAACACCATTTTGTCCAGTACTGACACCTCATTCACTACCACCAGTCACAAGGCCTCACTGTGGGCCCAGAACACAACAGCCACACTCCCACCTCAGAGTTTTCATGAGCTCTTCCTTCTGCTTGGAATTCTCATCCCCCACGTATTCATTTTGCTAAATTACTGTTTTCTTCAAGCCTTTGCTAAGACAGCACATTCTTAGTAAGGCCAGGCCCAGTCCCCATTTCTCAGTCCTCACCCCCACATCCTGATCCCCTATCCCTGTTCTACTTTCCCTTTTGGTCTCTGAACTGTTTACCTTCTAATATCACCTATCACCTATTTATTTATTGTGATTTCTCTGTCTCTGCATTTAGAATATGAGCTCTACACAACAAGGATCTCTTTTGGTTCACTGACATGTCCCAGGCACCTACAACAGACTTTGGCACAGATTGTTGTTGTTGTCATTGTTAAGTGTCATTGAGTCAGTTCCAACTCATAGCAACCCTCTATAGGGGATCTGAGGAACGGTTGTGAGTTTGACCTACCACTAACCTTGCTATTCAAACAACTTTGCAGCCCAGTGCATTATCCCACAGCACCGCATAGAGTAGAAGCTCTCTATCATTTACACTGAATAAAAGAATGAATGAGACTCCTTCTGCATCTATTAAATGAGGGACTGAATTAAATATATAGACAAATCACAAACCTGCCACCTTCACTTCCAAAGTGGCCTCTTCATAGAAATCTCCGTTCTTGAAGAAGCAGGTGTACAGCCCATCATCAGAAACCCGAACCTTGTCAATGTGTACAGCAGCCTCCCCCTGAGTGAGGAAGTCTGTCACCAGCGAGGTCCGCCCTTTGTACTGTGGCATCTGCTCCTCCTTCTGCTCCCACTGGTTCTCATAGATGAACACCGCTTCTGGGAAGATGGACCGGAACCACCGCAGCTCCATGTTCTCCGCATTCATGGCAGGAGACAGGGAGCAGGGCAGTGTGATGGCCCCACCCAGCACTGCCACAATGGGGTCCACAGGGCCAATCACCTGGAACTTCTCTGTGGATACAGACATGGGAATGAGAAAGCTGGGGAGATGCAAGGTCATCTTGGGAAGACCCCTAGCTTCTAAAGAAATAAACTATGAGAACTCTGAGTGGGGTGAGATGTTCTGATCATAGTATCATGGCCCAGAAATGATGTCACGTGCCTGAGAGTAATCTACCTGAGTTCCTGGTCACAGGCCCTCCATGAATGACCCTGTAAATCCATGGTACTCAAGCTTAAATGTGGGTTTAAGCCTTTCAGATAGCAGTTGAACATTTTAACCACTGCACCACCACAACTTGTTCAGAATCAACCAGTAAAATAGATCTCTGAAACCCACTACCAAAATTTCTGATTCAGTAGGTCTAGGAGAGACAAAAAATGTGTATTCCTCAGGAGTTCCCCAGGGTTTTGGTAGTCCAATTGTAGAATTCTAGCTTCCTTTGAAGACAAGCAGCTTTTGGTTCATTGTCTATGGGGTCACTATTAGTGAAAGCCAACCTATGGCACTTAACAATGAGAACAAGGAGTTACAAAGATGCAGATATGCTGGTCCAGGGACCACATTTTGAGAACCACAGCCCCAGCCTGGCCCCACCTCCAGACAGAACTGAAAACTGACCTGAGGCTACCAGAGATCTAGGTCTGAACTCTGATCATTTAGTCAACCCCAGGAAATTCCCCACCCACACTCTTAACTTTCATTAATTTTGCCAATATCTTTCTCTTGCACTGAAAAGTGTGCACTTAAAACTCAGAGTCAAATGTTATTTCTGCCCTCACTCCGAGGCTCCCAAGAACATCATTCACACCTTGTTAAAGAAAAAGGAACGTATCGCCCTTGTCCTTCTGAAGTGGACAAGCTGTAGCATGACTTCTCTGCAGACCAGGTCCCTCTAGATTCCCAAGTGTCATCTTTCCTACTCCTAGATCCTGGCCTAGACATTGTTTCCCATCTGGAGGACCACAGCAGACTGGTCTCCCCTGTTTGCCTTCATCCCACCTGTCTATTTCCTACAAGGCAGTCAAAGTAAGTGATCCTTTTAATGTGTAAGCCAAACCTGTCAGGGTCCCACTTTGCTCAAAGCCCTGGAATAGCTCCCCATTTCCCTCCAGTGACCACGTGCCCTATAGGGATGATTCCCAGAAAAATTCTAACCTTGGTTCCAGCTTCCCTACCCTTCACTGTCTCTGCTCCAACCAACACTCACTTCTTTGACCTCACTAGGCATGTGGTCAGGCTTGCACTGGCTGACAGTTCCTGCAAAAGCAGGGACTTTCTCCAAAGATTCTCATGCTCACTTCCCTTCTCCCCCAACTCTTAGTTGACCACCCTATTGAGCACTGCAGCCTGTACACACCCCACTTCCCCTCTACCCACCAACACTGTTCATACTTGTGCACTAATCTCCTCTAACAGACTATAATTTTTCCAGGTGTATTACATTTAATATTCACTGACTCTTGCTAGAATGTTAATTAGTTAGTTAAGTGCTACTGACTTGGTTCCACAATGGCTTTGAACAACAATTAGCAGTCCAGTGTCACACCAGGAATCCTGCTAGAACGTTGTTATTTTCTTAAATGCCATTCAGTTGGTTCCAACTCATAATGACCCTATGTTCAACAGAGTGAAACACTGCCTGGTCCTGCCACATCCACACAACTGCTGCCAGGCTTGAGTCCATTGTTGTTACCACTTGCCAATCCATCTCAGAGTCAGGAGTCCCCTTATCCTTTGCTGTCCCTCACACTTTAGTAAGCCTGATGTCCTTCTCTAAAGACTCATCCCTCCTGATTATATGTTCAAAGTATGAGAAACAAAGTCTGACCATCCAGGCTTCCAGGAAGCATTCTGGTTGCACCTCTTTCAACACAGATTGGTTTGTTCTTTTGGCAGTCCATGGTCCTTTTAATATTCTCCTCCAACACCATAACTCAAATGTATCAGTTCTTCAACAGTCTTCTTTATTCACTATGCAACTTTCACATGCATACGAGGTTATCGAAAATACCATGGCTTGCGTCAGGCACACCTTAGCCCTCAAACTGACATTTTTGCTCTTCAACACTTTAAAGAGATCTTGTGCAGCACATTTGCCTAATGCAACAGCTCATTTGGTTTCTTGACTGCTGCTTCCATGAGCATTGATGGTGGATCAAGTAAAATGAAGTCTTTGACAACTTTATCTTTTCTCAGTTCATCATGATGTTATTTGTTGCTCCAGTGATGAGGATTTTTGTTTTCTTTACATTGAAGTGCAAGCGCATACTGAAGGCTCTGGACTATGATCTTCAACAGTAAATATTTCAAGTCCTCTGCATTTTCAGCAAGCAAGGTTGTATCATCTGCATATCTCAGGTTGTTAATGAGTCTGCCTCCAATTCTAATGTCACGTTCTTCTTCGTATAAACCAGCATGTCAGATTATTTGTTTAGCATACAGATTGAATAAATATGGTGAAAAAATACAATCCTAGCACACACATTTCCTTATTTTGAACCATTCAGTGCCCCCTTGTTCTGTTTGAAGGACTGCCTCTTGGGCTATGTACAGGTCCCTCATGAGTACCACCATTAAGTGCTCCACAATACTCATTCTCCACAGTGTTGTCCATAGCTTGTCATGACCCACACAGTCAAAGGCCTTGGTGTAGTCAATAAAGCACTGCTAAACATCTTTCTGGTATTCTCTGTATTCATCCAATACCCATCAGATGTCAGCAATGATATCTCTCATTCCACACCCTCTTAGGAATTGTATTGAACCTCTGGCGGTTCCCTGTGAGTGTACTCTAACAACCATTTTTTAATTATCTTTAGCAAAAATTTACTTGTGTGTGATATTAATGATATTGTCTGATAACTTCCACAATCCAGTTGGTCACCTCTCTTTTGAATGGGCAAAAGTATGGATCTCTTCCAATCAGTTGGTCAGGCAGCTGTCTACCAAATTTCTTGGCATAGATGAGTCCCATGTTGCATCACTTTGTTGGAAGATTTGTATTCCATCAATTCCCAGAGCCTCATTCTTTGCCAATCCTTCAGTGCACTTTGGGCTTCTTTTTTCAATGCCATTGACTCTTGTTATATGCTATCTCATAAAATGGTTGAACATTGACAATTTCTTTTTGGTACAGTGACTCTGTATTCCTTCCATCCTCTTTTGATGCTTTATGCATCATTCAATATTTTGTCCAAAGAATCCTTTCGTATTTCAGGTTGAGGCTTTAATTTTTCCTTAGTTCTTTTCAGCTTGAGCAATACTGAGCTTGCTCTTCCCTTTTGATTTTCTAACTCTACATCTCTGTACATTTCATTATAATATTTGACTTTGTCTCCTCAAGCTTACATTTGAAATGTTCAGCTCTTTTAATTCCTCATTTCTTCCATTTCCTCTAACATCTCTTCACTGGAGAACAAGTTTCAGAGTCTCTTCTGACATCCAGTTTTGTGTTTTTCTTCTTAATGACATTTGCTTTTTTACGCTATGATGTTTTAGATATCATCCTACAACATATTGGTTTTTGGTTATTAGTGTCTAATGCACCAAATCTGTACTTCAGATGATCTTTAAATTCAAGTGGGACATATTCAAGTTAAATAAAACAAGCCCATGGCTTTCATGAATTTGCCTTTGAACAGTTGATGGTCTAGTCTCTTCCACAGTCTGCCCCCGGCCTTATTTTGGCTGATGATATGGAGCTTTACCACCATATCTTTCCACAGATGTAGGCAGTTTGATTTATGTGAGCTCCATCTGGTAAAGTCCATGTGTATCATCATCTTTCATGTTGTTTAAAAAAGGTATTTGTAATGAAGAAGTCATTGGTCCTGAAATTTCTATCACGTGATCTGCATCATTTCTATCAATAAGGTCATGTTTTCCAATTACTAATCCTTCTTGTCGTTTTCAACCTTTGCATTCCAATCACCAGTAATTATCAGTATGTTTGATCAGTTTCAGACTGAAGTGGCTGAATTCTTCAATTCAACATTACTGGCTTTAATGGTTGGTCTGCAAATTTGAATAATACTGATATTAATTGGTCTTCCTTGTAGGCACATGTATATTATCCTATCACAGGTAGCATTATACTTCAATATAGATCTTGGAATGTTCTTTTTGATGATGAATATAACGCCATTCTTCTTCAATTTGCCATTCTCAGCATAGCAAACCAGGTGATTGTCATATTTAAAGTGGCCAATACTAGTTCATTTCAGCACACAGATGCCTAGTGTATCAATGTTTATGAGTTCCATTTCACTTTTGACAACTTTTAATTTTCCTGGATTCATACTTCACACATTCCACGTTCCAATGATTAATGGATGTTTACAGCTGTCCCTCCTCATCTCTCTTACATTTGCTAGAATGTAAACTTTATGAAAACACTGACTCAGTATTTGTGCTATTCACAGAGCAACACCTAACACCCATGCACTACCATCAAGTTAATTTTCAGATCATAGCAATACTGTATAGGGTTTCCAAGGCTGTAAATTTTGTGGGGAGCAGAAAGCCTCATCTTTCTACTAAGGAGCAGCTGGTGAGTTTGAACTGCTGACCTTGTTGTTTGCAATCCACTGCTTATTGAACAGCACAACCAGGACATTTGACACATAATCCCTAAAAATCAAACCCACAGCCATTGAGGGGATTCTTTCTTACTGTGACCCTAGATAGGATTTCTGAGACTTTACCAAAGCAGACAACTTCATCTTTCTCCTTAGGAGATACTGGCAGGTCAAAACTGAAAACTTTTTGGTTAGCATGCCAGCACCTAACCCACAGTGCCATCAGGGATCCTGAACACTTAGTAGATCATGTCTGTAACACTTGGGGAATAAAGTAGATTTACACATGCATGTGAGTCCGGGTGTGGCACTGTGGATTAATGTGCCAGACAGCAAAGCCATTTGAACTGCGAGGTTGGCAGTTCAAGCTAACCAGTCACTCCTTGGAAAACCTATACAAGGTCATTATGGGTTGGAACTGACTTGATGGCACTTAACAACAACAACAAATATATGCATGTATTATTTGCATAAGAAATT